AATTGCTCGTTATATAATCTGGATCCAGAGTTAAGCACCAGAAGTGCCATGACTATTTAATATATAAAGGAGCAATTAAGGCATAGCTCGACTCGCTAAAATGAATAAATTCTCTTTATAACAATACACCATTTGAGTGTTTACCCTGAAGGTTACAAATGGGTGTGTGCATGAAAGAGAAATAAGAATAATGAGGTGATAAAGCGAATTTGTAGCCTATGGGTTCACGCAGAGACCCTTAATTGATTTTAATCAAATATAATCTCCCACGGTAAATGGCATTAAGTTCCGCTACATAATACAATTGGCAGAATAATAAATTTAGATATGCAGTTAAATTTATCTTGAGAAATCCCTGATGGATTCATAATTCTCATTTTTAAGTATTATTATGTGTCATTATCTACTCTTTAAAGGGTTGCGAATGGAGTTAATATCCTCATTGAAGGAATAATATGTACCATTGTGTGCTCGATAAAGGGTTGATAATGAACTTATTTATTATTTATTATCTCAGTCAAGATTGATGGTGTAAACATCAATGAAAGATATAAAGAGCTTGATGATGTCAGTTCATGTTTAAAGACTGAGACTTTTGAAACAAAAAGCTTGTGAAAGCTATAAGTATTATCTCGACTTGAAGATCGAGTTTTTCTTTACAGTTTTTTTTATACACCAGTCAGCCTACATCTAAAAATGCTTTTTCATATGTCTATATGCATATAAGTGTCATGTTTTATCAAACTAAAGGTTGCCTAATAATCTCTTGAAGTAGATAAGGAACCTTTTTGGACTCGAAGTCCCTTACTTCATTATCATTGGAGCACCATTACAGAACCAGAAGTTCCATAACCGCAACATATTTGCGATAAAATTGCTAGCAAAATCTAGTGCTCCCCCTACAAATGAAGTACTTGAATAATGATTAACATATCCTCCGGTATCTTCGAGATACAAAGACATGACATTTATGTAAGAAACCATGATACGGTTTTAATAGGCTACTTGGGTACTGGCTGTTTTGTTTGATCCCCGCAATGCCAAGTCCAAACTGGTTATACAATGAATTTCCCTAAATGTTCAAAATGAGGACAATAACACTTGTGTTGCACAAATGTTATATTAGCTCTAGAAGAGCCATAAGATTATTGTACACTACTCTAAGTGACAATCCAGAAGATTTGTCCAATCCATCTCTTCAAAATTTGAAATATATGTAGAACTTGAAGATTGTTATCTTCAGGGGGAGACTGGAAGTACATTTACTCGAATCAATCCGGAAGATTGAACATTGAACATAAAATCCTGAAGATTAAGTCATAAAAGACTAACAATTGCGCACTATTTGCAACACATAAATACATAAATATCATGTACTCTTTTCCTCACTAGTTTTCTCCCATTGGGTTTTCTAGTGTGGTTTTTAACGAGGCATGAGTATGATATAGTAATGACAATGAGGAAAAGTTGCAAAATAATTGCTTAAATGGACAAACCCCAAAATCCTGAAGATTATGCGGTTTGCGCCCTGAAGGCTTATGGTTGTACTCTTTTTCCCTTAACTAAGTTTTTCCCACAGGGTTTTCTTAAGTTAAGGTTTTTAATGAGGCGACCAAATACAATATATGTTTTTATATATGTCATGTACTCTTTTCTTCAACTAGGTTTTTCCCACGTGGTTTTCCTAGTGAAGTTTTTAATGAGGCATGAATATATTTTCTATTGTACTCTTTTCTTGTCTAGGTTTTTCCCACAGGGTTTTCCTAGAAAGTTTTTAACGAGGCTAGATCATCGACAAATAATGTCCAAGGGGGAGTGTTATAAATAGTAATGATTGTGGACATTATTGTGTAACGGTTTCCTTTATGTCTCCATTATTGTATTCCGTTACACTTGTTATTATATATATGTCATTCTAATGTAATGATCATAGGTGTGGTATAAAGGAATAAGAAACCTTCTATTTTGTCTCTACTCTTCTTCTTGTTCTTACTGTTCTTCACGAGCTAAAGGCCTGCAAACAAACTTGCAATACAACAGAAATGACATTTTTTTCTCATAAGTTATAGGCTTATAACACTTTTTCCCCTGAGTTATTTATTTATTCACATTTATCAACTCAATTATTTTAAAAGTGACAGTTTTTCCCTTTTGATATTAAATGGACATTTTTACCTTTAAAATAATTATTTCATTTTTTTTGAAAGGTAAATAATTTCATTAAAACTCAAGAAATGAGATGTCAATACAAGATGGAATAGTAGAAAATCAAATTTTTACCCTTAAAATTATTATTTCATTTATTTTTCTTCTACAACAAATTATTGCTTATATGTAGGGATGACTAACATTCGATTTGAACCATTCCGGACACAATAGCAACCGAACTGAAATTGTATGGATGGTTCTTGTTACGATTCAGAACTGGAAAAATAAAATAAAATAAAATAATTGTTGAATTTAGGTTATTTTAAAAATAAAAAATAGAATTTATTGTGACTTTTTAAAAAATTAATTAGAATAAATTACATCAATAAAAATAATAGGGATGTTTGGTTCATGGAAAATGTTTTTCAAAGGAAAATATTTTCCTTAAAGTGGAGGAAAATGTTGTTTTTTTGGTGTTTGGTTTCATTTTTCATTGCAAAATGAATTTCTCAAATTTGAAGAAAACAAAATCCTTGGTTGGACCAAGGATTTTGTTTTTTTCATGGAAGATGAAAAGAAAAAGTGATGTGGTTTGACTATCTTACCCTTGTTTTCTTTCTTAATTATATTACTCTTATTAATTTGTAGATGAGCATATGTCTTTATACTCGTTATTCCTTACAATTCCAAATCTAACCAAACAATAAAATTAATATTCTCAGTAATTCTTTTTCCATAAACCAAACAATGAAATTCATCTTCCTAATAATTATTTTTTCATGAAATTTCAATTCTACTTCCCTTAAAATATTTTCTGCGAACCAAATGATAAGTGTAATATACTGCACTTATAAATAAATAAAAAAATAAAAATAAAAACCATGTTAAAGATATTTCCATTGTTGAACCGTACGCATAAAAGTATGATCGTTGATTACTTAATTACACCATTTGCTGGAGAACGAAGCAAAATTTTAATCAATTGTCCAGTCATTGATGGACAAAGACGGTCGTCGACGACCGGGCAACGGGCATTGACTTTGGCTTTGAAATTGCTGGCATCACAAAATGAATAACGTAATCATATTAAATTATATACTCTATCGGTACTATTTTGTTTATCTGACTCGATTAACTGAAATTATTTTAATTCAATTTTTCATAATAATATGTTTAACATTAGTATATAAAACTTATATATTTAGAAATTACATTAAAAATAGTATTAAACCCAAAAAATTAAATTTAAAGCGGGGATGGAGGAGGATACAGTCTGAGCAAATTGTCGTTTTTTGCTGTCATGAACTCTTTGTAAATTGATTTACTTAATTTCCGAATTGAAGTCAATGGTGTGATGAACAAGGAATTGCATGCTGATTGCTGTGTGAGTATAGGAGATTTCATCGAGTTATATTTTTTGTGTAAAATATTTTTTTATTAAAAGTATTATATTTTTCTTTATAAGTAATGTTGTACTTATAAAGACAAATGTACTTTTGATGAAAAATATAATACTTTTACATTAAAAAGTAAAAGTATTATATTTTTTCTCAAAAAGTATTACGTTATCCCATATAAGTAATAAATATTTTATTCTTGATTTAGTATTACATTTGCTAGTATAAGTATTACATTTTATCTTGACCCGACTCATCTCACAAACAAAGATTCGTGAGATGGTACGGTCTCACATAAGTTTTTGCTTCAAATAAAAGGAAAAAGAAAGCAATTGCTATACCATGCATAAAGGTTCATCTTGTATTGTAGATCCTGATCCAAAAATCATGTGTTTACGATTGATATATTCTGTACCTGCAGTTATCAGTTTATGTATCTGTAAATAAATTGATGACACATAATATGTTAACTAAGGACACATAAAATAGTGACTACATAGTACATACACATAAATTGTTAACTGCAGACACATAATATTATTTTGTGTTGATAAACATATTATGTGCCACCAGTAACATACTCTTAACAATTTATGTGTCTATAGTTACCATTTTATATGTCTGTAATTAACATGTTATGTGTCTTTAATTTATTTACAGACACATAAACTGTTAACTGTAAATACATAATATATCAACTGCATGTACATAATCTAAAAATTATTTTTAGTCGGTCCACAATGAAACTTAGACTATAACCCATGCTATAATTTTTCAAAAGAAAGAGAAAAATTGCTCACCTAGCCTGTTTAAATTATCTTTACTTCCAATTCCAATATAATGGAGCTACTCTCACAAAAACACTTTAAGTAACCATTTCTGATATACTATTTTCCTACAATGTAATTGTTGTACGAAATTATATAAAAATATTTCCTCCAAATTAAAATCACGCGTCAGGAAAATATTCGTATTGACTGAAAAATTGACCAAAACGACCAAATGTGATATAATTTTGATAATTATAAGACAAATTAAATGTGAAAAATTTAGCTGTCTGAAACCAAATGCGAGAAATGTATAGTACAATACTTAAGGGATTCAAGGTAAAAAAAAAAATGGTTAAATACAAAAAAAAAAAAAAAAAAAAAAAACACTATTAAAATTTTACTTAGTATATAGATATTTTAATTTTTTTTTATTCTTTATAGCATTGTTAGTTTTGATATTTCATCTGCAAAATAGAGATTTAACAACATTCTTTTTTAAATTTTTTTCTATTCAATTGCAACACATTGTTCCTAGTTATTTTCCCTACATGACCCTATTCAAATTATGTTTTTTATTTTACAAATGAAATATCGAGATTAAACAAGATTATAATTAAAGAAAAATATTAAAGGTTGCATTTGATGGACTAATTAAATCGCAAGCAAAGAAAAATATTACTTTCAATTTCAACTCCAATATAATGTTTTTTGCAATGGTAAATATATTTCATATTTTGGATACAGTAATTCCATTTTGCATGCACAATATGAGTATATAGTGCATATAGTAGTACCGAATATTTAATTAATTACCCAAACATTGTTAGAGTTTGGGTTTAACATTTAATAACGAACTAAGCAGTAGGGTAAGCAGCCCTAGTGGCAAGGCCACAGAGTCCTCCCTCAGAAGTGTCCCTCGCCATTCTCATATACCCTTCTTCTCCCCAGCTTGTGCCCCATGAATTTTTTATCAGCCAATACTTTTCTCCCTCCTCGCTCGTCCCATATCCGACCACGGTCACTGCATGGTGGGACCCGGTCCCACAGTCGCCGTTAAAGACGCCGGTGGAGTACTGCTGGAACTCCATCCCGCCGATGGTGATTCCGACGGAGACAGGCTGGTTGGTCACGGCCTGTAGCAGGGCGGATTCGCCCTGCTCCACTTCATTAAAACCGGTGATGCTTGCCACCGGGGAGCCTTGATTGTTGCAGTTCATGCCCTGAGAACCTTGGTATGGGTATTCAGATTCAGATACAAGGCCGCCAATATCTTGTATCGATTGGAATGCCTCGGTGATCATGCCTCCATTGCAGCCGTAGCTTCTCTCGTCGCAATCTAGAAGTTGTTGTTCTGACAAGGAAACTAGGTTTCCGGTGTTTATCTGATGTATTCCTTCCACTGCTGCAACCGCCGTAAATGCCCAACATGCACCTGAACATCCATATCATCATAACACAATTAAAAGATAATTTTTAGGTAATCAGAAAACCTGCCGTCACTATCAGAAAGTGTACACTAAATAAACTACATCTTATGATCTAGCGGACAAATGATCATAAAAGTAAACCAGATTAGATTTCTCATAACTCGTAGACCAGCTTTTACTGCTAGTGGCACAGCGTTGCTTTTACCTGTGAGTTAAACTTGAAATTTTATCAAGTTAATAATCGAACCAACTTGATTAAGTTGACCTTACATATAATAAAATATTCATGACTTACCACACTGAGATTGATCTTTGACATCAGTAACAGCTCCCTTCTCTCTCCAATCCCAGTTGTCTGAGTCACCAACGCTATTCCCATTCCCATTCCCTATGGATGAGTTTCCTCTGGGAAACCTATTAGGTATAGGGTGGAAGAATATGTTGTCTTCGTTAAGAAACATGGAACGAAATTCCTCGTTGCTGAAATCTGAAAATTTGTTAAGGCCTAACTTATAAGATCGGTTTCCAGCTTTGTTGAAAGACTCAACAAACTCTAAATTTTGTTTGAATATCGTAAATCTTTTGGCCTTTTCAACCTCATCCTTGTAAGAACGGCCATGATGAGCCATCCACTTCTCATGGCGTTGCAGCAAGGATGTCTCATCAAGGGTGCGGGAAGTGGCTTGAAAAGCGCACATCCCGAAGAGAAAAAGGATTGCGAGAATGAATTTGAAGGCCATGGTGGTGTAGCTAGCTAGAGAAGCTAGCAGGTTTCTAGATGCTAATTAGATGTTGGGATATTTTGTGAGAATATTAGTTCACTACTCTCAACTATTTATAGTGCAAAATTTTTATGTAATATGAATGTTTAATGATTTATGCATGCATGCATGCATGCATGTAGCCGTGTGGTCTGGGGTAGAAATATTAATCCATACATAGTTTGGTTGTAATCTTATTTAGCATTCACACAGGTGTTGCGTCCTGTCCAAGATATTGCATTATATTGTAATAGTATCATTAAATCTACTTTTTGTATGCACATAAAAAAATAGAATAACTTTTCTGTAATAGTTCACAAACCACACCAGAAAGATAATCTTTACTAAGAAGATCATGTGCGACGACGAGTTTAATCAAGAGAGTGCTGGGGAAGAATTGCACTTGTGACATAAGGAACAACAAACTTGTCTTCCATAGGGATACATTGAAGAGAGCGGGGGTTCTCAAACACCTAATTAAAGACCTCGATCATGGTACCTACTGAGGATTGATCTTGTAACCTTATGGTTACCAAAGTCAACAGACTAATCAATTTTGTTAAGTTGTCCTAATCAAAAGCCTTTTATTATTGAAGTGGAAGGTTTTGTAGCAAAACTCTTTAGTGTTACTGTATTAGTAAGTGCTACCGCAGATGGCGGAGATGATTAAGCAATGATTATATAGTTTATGATTTATTACAAACAATTGCGATGACTTCATTATTGAATAAATTGATTGACTTGTGAAGTACGTGCATGTATATATATATTGGCACCGATTTTATTAAATTGGAAAATTGACCACGTCTTTCTATAATTTTTTTATTTTTGCCGTATGGGATTGAAATGCCGAGTGCCAAGAAAAAGTTGTGGGAATGTGGAAAGTTTGAGCCAAACACAAGACGCTGCGAAAAAAGTTTTTTGGCAAATTAAGAATGAATAAGTCTTTTATAAATTGATAAAAAATATTCTATAGATTATGTGATACATTTTTACACAACTTATTCATTAAGAATTTATATGAAAATGGAACTCATAAGTCGTTCTTTACTTTTGTTTTCTCTTTTACCTTTCCAGATGGAGTTTTTTGCACTTTTAGTCCCACGACTATAGTGGTACTGGCAGAATTGATCCACGACTTTTGAACCTTGCAATTTTAGTCCACGACTATTGATTTTTTTGCAAAAATGGTCCTTCCGGCCACTTTTTCGTCAAAATTTCACCGGAAAAAAAAATTATCTATTTTTAGTCGGGTTAAAATTGACATTTTACTTATCTCAAAAAATTAAAAGAAAAAAATTGATATTTGACTACATACAATATTACTGGGCTACATACTACTGCCCCAGGCGGCAGAGTTCCTGGAGCAGGCAGGGCTGTCAGTAAGCGGCGGAGCGACCGTGACGTTCCCCGGGCTAGTTGGGTTATCCGGCAGCAGCATTGGAGTGGTACATGTACTCCGCTGCCTGGGGCAGTAGTATGTAGCCCAGTAATATTGTATGTAGTCAAATATCAATTTTTTTCTTTTAATTTTTTGAGATAAGTAAAATGTCAATTTTAACCCGACTAAAAATAGATAATTTTTTTTCCGGTGAAATTTTGACGGAAAAGTGGCCGGAAGGACCATTTTTGCAAAAAAATCAATAGTCGTGGACTAAAATTGCAAGGTTCAAAAGTCGTGGATCAATTCTGCCAGTGCCACTATAGTCGTGGGACTAAAAGTGCAAAAAACTCTTTCCAGATGGGATTGAAATAGAGAGGGTCAACTGTCAAGAGAAAGCTGTGGGAAAGTGGAGAAAAGAGACTTTGTCTCCATAAACACAGACTAGCGATAGACGACCTCTATCTTGAGGTTTGTTGGACGCAAGCGCTACACGCAATCACGTAGTGTCATACATGTGTGAACATGAGTTCAGCCAAACTCTAGCTTGCTTGATCAATCAATTGAAACAACTAATATGAGTGTTTGGTAAACAACTTTGTAGTTTAGTTTATTGATGCCAATAAGCTGAATGTAGGAATCAGTAAGCTAGGTTGGGATTTGGATGATGAGAGTTCATAGGGAGAGAAGTCGAAGAGAGAAAAGAGAAGCTTGTTACTGTTGTATTGAATGAAGCAAAGAGCAGATTACATATAGTCCAGAACAGAAGCAGTTATAATTGCCAGGAGAGAAAGAGAGAAGGAAAGTACAGAAATACCCTTCTACATCAATATTAATCCTTCATCACCCCCCCGTAAGCTGGGGCATGGATGTCTCGGAGGCCCAGCTTAAGTTGAAACAAGTTGAATGCAGGAGTAGGCAAAGTCTTGGTGAATCCATCAGCCACCTGTTTATGAGAAGGAATAGGCAACAATTTTATCAATCCTTCACTGACTTTGTGCTTGACAATGTGACAATCTATCTCTATGTGCTTCGTTCTTTCATGGAAAACATGATTTTCTCCAATGGCAATAGCTGAGTGATTGTCACAGAACAGGACAGTTGGAACATTGAGCTTCACTTTCAAATCAGCTAGCAAATAATGGAGCCATTGAATCTCACAAACAGTTGAAGCCAATGCTCTATATTCAGCCTCTGAAGAAGACCTTGAGATTGTGGCCTGTTTCTTAGTCTTCCAGGAGATCAAGTTGGTACCAAGGAAAATGCAATAGCCAGTGACTGACTTTCTGGAATCTGGGCAATTGGCCCAATCAGAATCTGAGAAACCTTGCAGCTTCAAATGGGAGTCTTTGTGATAGAATAAGCCTTTTCCTGGTGAATGTTTAAGGTATCTCAATACCCTATGAGCAGCAGTAAGATGGATGCTAGATGGCTTGTCAACATACTGGCTGAGCTGCTGCACAGCATGTGATATGTCTGGTCTTGTGTTGGTTAGATATAACAATTTGCCAACTAATCTTCTGTAAACTTCAGGCTTCTCAATGGGAATGCCTTCTGTTTTTGCTAATCTGATACCTGCAGTAGCTGGACTTTTTGCAGGCTTACAATTGAGAAAACCATTCTCTTTAAGGATGTCAAGAGTGTACTTCATCTGAAACAAGCTGACCCCTTCATCACTTCTAAAAGTCTCAATCCCCAAGAAATAGTTCAATGACCCTAGGTCCTTTATCTTGAAGGCAGTGTCAAGAAACTGCTTCAAGGCTGTAATTTGTGATGAATCATTTCCAGTGACTAGAATATCATCCACATAGATAAGCAAGGCAGTAAAAGAACCTCCTGAGGTTCTAGTGAGTAGAGATGGATCAGCTGCTGACTGTTGATAACCATTATCTATCAATGCTGTAGTTAATTTGGAGTTCCATTGTCTGCTAGCCTGTTTTAGGCCATAGAGAGACCTAATTAGCTTGCAGACCTGGTTTGGCTTATCACTGTGGAAGCCAGGAGGTAACACCATATAAACTTCCTCCTTTAGGTCCCCATGTAGAAAGGCATTGTTTATGTCTAATTGTTGAATGTCCCATCCTCTTGCAATGGCTACAGCTAGAAATGATCTTATAGTAGTCATCCTTGCAACAGGTGAAAAAGTCTCAGTGTAGTCAATTCCCATTTGTTGTGTATACCCCTTGGCCACCAACCTAGCTTTGTATCTTTCCACTGAGCCATCAGCTTTGTGTTTCACTTTAAAACCCCATTTACAACCAATTGGTATTTTCCCTTTAGGCAAGTCTGTGAGTATCCAGGTATTATTGGCAACCAAGGTTTCTATTTCAGTCAGCATTGCCTTTCTCCACATTTCAGACTTAGCCGCTTCATTATAAGTCTGTGGTTCATGTGTGTTTAGGATAGAGGAGGCACAAGTTTTGTGATGCAGTGGTAGGGACTCATAAGATATGACATTGTCTAAGGGATGTGGGGAAGTGGTGAAGGATTAATATTGATGTAGAAGGGTATTTCTGTACTTTCCTTCTCTCTTTCTCTCCTGGCAGTTATAACTGCTTCTGTTATGGACTATATGTAATCTGCTCTTTGCTTCATCCAATATATGCTGGTGCTTTCTCTCTGCAATACCATTTTGCTGAGGTGTATAAGCACAAGATTTTTGATGGACAATCCCTTTGTCATTAAAAAGGGATGTCATGAAGAACTCAGTTCCATTATCAGACCTCACTGCCTTAATTTTAGTTGAGAACTGAGTGTCCACAAATTGATAGAAGTTCTGAAATAGCTGCTTAACTTCAGATTTATTTCTCATTAAATGTATCCAAGTGAATCTGCTGTAATCATCAACAATTGTGAGAAAATAATGTTCCCTTTTAAGTGAGGCAATAGCAAAAGGACCCAAAACATCTAAATGTACCAAATCAAAGCATTTTTCAGCTCTTGTATTGCTAATGGGAAATGCTAACCTTTTTTGTTTAGAAAAATGACATGAGTCACATACAAAATCAGCAGGCTTATGAGATTGAACCTGCTTTATTCCATTTAGACTATGAATTTTGTCTATAGGGTAATGCCCTAGTTTATTATGCCACATTTGCAAAGATAAGCTATTACAGTGTTTATCAAAATCAACACACTGATTTCTCTTAACAGGAGGATGGCTTAGAAGATAGAGTCCATCCTTTGCCTTAGAAAAACCATCCATCATCCCATGTAGCCCCTAGATATTACACAAATCAGCATTCATGACAAGAGTACAGTCATTTTGTTTTGTCAGCTTGCTAGCAGATATTATGTTGAAAGCAAAAGAGGGTATGCACAAAACATTTTTCAACAAAAGATTGGGAAACAATCTTATTTCTCCTATATGAGTCACCTGCACAGAATCTCCATTTGGCATTCTAACAAAAATGCCATGAACTTTATGATGATTATCAATATAATCCAAAGAGCAAGTGATGTGATCAGTTGCTCCTGAATCCAATATCCACATTTTTGCACAACTTAAGACAACATTTATATGGAATTTAGGAATGAACCTGCCTTCTTCTGTATCAGCAGATGAACTGATGATCTCTTGTCTCATTCCAGTCTTACTCATGGTAATTGCAGCATTGGTGGAAGCTTGGTTAGCTTGGCTTCCTTGGTTCTGATTTTGCAAGAGAGAAACCAGCTTCTGAAACTGGTCAGCAGACAATCCCACATCTGCAACTTGATTCACAGAAGGACTAAAGCTGTGCTGACTGTCCTGATTGCTTTGGTTCTGCTTGTATTTAGTCTTATAACCAGGTATCCAACCAGGTGGATACCAATGCTTCTTAAAGCATTTGTCTATAGTATGGCCATTCATTCCACAATATGTGCATTTGGCCACATTTTTCCCTCCATAGCCATTAAACTTCTTTTTGTTATATGAGCTAGTCATTGCCACAATATTCTGATCCTCTCCAATCTGATTTTGAATAGCATTAGATTGACCAATTTCAGAGGTCTTATAGCCACTAGAACCATTGAGCTTTCTCTCCAGCTTCAAAGCCATGTTGAGAGCTTTTTCCATACTATGTAGGGGATCCATGACCAGTGCACTAGATTTGATTGTTTCATATTCATCATTTAAGCCATCTAGAAACCTAATCACTTGATCATCCTCCCTATCCTTTATAACTTTGCTCAGAAGTGTGCAATTGCATCTAGGTGTACATTCACAAACAGGCAGTGGTCTAACAGCTTTCAATTGTTCCCAAAGAGCATTACATCTAGTGAAATACTCATTAATTGATAGATTACCTTGCACACTTCTGTAGATCTCATTCTGAATCTCAGCAATCTTGTGTGGATCTGCTTGAGAATATCTTTTCCTCAAAGCATTCCAGATCTCTTCTGCTACCTCGAAGTACAACACACTCTCAGCAATGGATGGACTGAGTGAACGTAAGATCCAGGCGCAAACAATATCGTTGCACCTCTTCCAAGTTCCATATCTAGCATCTGACTGAGCTGGACAGGGAATCGTACCAGTAACGAATGCAAATTTTTTCTTCATGTCAAGCGCAATCTTCATGGACCTGCTCCAGGCTGCATAATTGCTCTCAGTAAGAGGAGGAGAGACAAGTATGGTGTTTGGATTCTCTGTTGCGTGAAGATACAAAGGATCATCCAGTTCATCTACTCTGTAAACCGGATTCTGGTTAGCTTGGATCTGACTGACCGGAGTGGCTGCTCCTGCTGCACTTCCAGCAGAATTTCCTCCGGTGGCATTTCGATCCATGGTTACTGCGGCTGTGTAGCTGAAAGGAAGCTCTGATACCATGTAGGAATCAGTAAGCTAGGCTGGGATTTGGATGATGAGAGTTCATAGGGAGAGAAGTCGAAGAGAGAAAAGAGAAGCTTGTTACTGTTGTATTGAATGAATCAAAGAGCAGATTACATATAGTCCAGAACAGAAGCAGTTATAACTGCCAGGAGAGAAAGAGAGAAGGAAAGTACAGAAATACCCTTCTACATCAATATTAATCCTTCATCACTGAAGTTGAAAAATTTATTTTAAATGAGGTATTTCGTAACTAGTTGTTAGTTGATATATAGCTGTTAGCGGATTGGGTTAGTGGTTTAACTAGTTGATAGCATTGTCTAGTTGTAGAAAGATGTTTGGTAAATTAGTTGTTAGTTGATAGCTGATTATATGCAAAATGATCTTTTTAAGGTATAATTTATTTTCTCAAAAAGTGATGGAAAAAATCCCTTTTAGTAGCTTTTTGAGTTTTAACATTTTGAAACAATAAACTGTTGCAAAAAGCATTAAACAAACACTTATATTGATTGTTTAACCAAGTCAAACTACTAATAATTGTCAAACAAGCTAAAATTGACTAATAATTAAACTAATTATGTTACCAAACTCGCCCAATACCTTAATTATTGATATCAACTTATTGCATTTTCATTTTAAAAGTCGTGGTGTTTATATTTATTTAATTTTTTATTTAAATTTACATTTTCAATATCATTAGAATCGTCTAGAGCCCGACATCTAAATTGACTATTTGCCGACACTCACGTGTCTATATATATTAGTGTTGCAAAAATCCTGTCTGGGCATCGATTAATCGGCGCTGGCTGGCCGCCAAGCGTATCACCATAATCGGTGGTTTAGGTGCCTAGCCGACTAGGCTGCCTAAGTGCCGCCTAGGCGCTGACCGCCTAGACGCCGACTAGGCCTTCTAGGCACCGACTAAGCTTCCTAGGCACCGACTAGGTCTCCTAATCTGCCGATTAACTATTGTTTCATTTTTTTTAAATGCGTTATTTCAGTCAAAACGACATCGTTTTGAGCGAAATAACTCTAAATTGTTCAAACTCATAGATCATTTTAGATTAATATTTACTATTTTAATATTAACTATTAAAGTATTAAATAGTTTATAATTATCACAAAACCAACCAATTAAACAACCAAATGCATTTAATTATCAAGCACGCTTAGCTCGAGTATATAATATAGTTTACGTGCCCGCACGGGTTTAGTTTAATGGCTCAGTGAGCAGTATTTAGAAGGAGAGACCAAGTTTCGAACCTCGGCGGCGCAGTGTGAGAATTATGTCCAATTAAAATGGACAGATTTCTTGTGGGCACCAGAATTTGACCCTTACATCATCCTAAATGCTCGAATATATTTTACGTATGAAAATTAATTAGATACAAAGACCAAGAATAAAAAAACATATCATTAATAAATATTGACCTTATATATGTTAATTTCTTATCTTAATATATTTTTATTTTGATGGGAATTTCTTATCTTAATATATTTCATAATCCAGATACAATAGTTTTTTTTTTTTTAGCCAGATACAATAGTTTCATTTTGCATAGTACTATATATTTAATAAATTATCCAAACTTTGATAAAATATGGCTTTAATTTATACTACCTCCGTCCCATTTTGTTTGTCTAGTTCGGTTAACGAGGCTTGACTGAAGCTATTTTTACTTCAATTTTTCATAATATTAAATTTATTTTTAGTATATAAAATTTATATATTTAGAAACTACATTAAAAGTACTATTAAACATAAAAAAATCAAATTTAAAAATAATTAAAAATTACTAAAGAAAATAAGCAATGAAGGAAGAGTTGAATTGACCAATGAATAGTAAACAGGACAGGCAAAATGGGACAGAGGGAGTAGTAACTAAGCAGTAGGGTAAGCAGCCCTAGTGGCAAGGCCGCAGAGTCCTCCCTCAGAAGTGTCTCTCGCCATTCTCATATACCCTTCTTCTCCCCAGCTTGTTCCCCATGAATTCTTTATCAGCCAATACTTTTCTCCTTCCTTGCTAGTCCCATAACCCACTACGGTCACTGCATGGTGGAACCCGCTCCCACACTCGCCGTTGAAGACGCCGGTGGAGTAGTGCTGGAATGCCATCCCGCCGATGGTGATTCCGACGGAGACCGGTTGGTTGGTCACGGCCTGAAGCAGTGCGGATTCGCCCTGCGCCACTTCATTAAATCCGGTGATGCTTGCCACTGGGGAGCCTTGATTGTTGCAACTCATGCCCTGAGAGCCTTGGTATGGGTATTCGGATTCGGATACAAGGCCCCCCATATCTTGTATTGATTGGAATGCCTCGGTGATCATGCCCCCATTGCAGCCATAGCTTCTCTCGTCGCAATCTAGAAGTTGTTGTTCTGACAGGGAAACTAAGTTTCCAGTCTTAATCTGATGTATTCCTTCCACTGCTGCAATCGCTGTGAACGCCCAACATGCACCTGAACATCCATATCATCAAAACAAGCCACAATTAGAAGCTTTTGTGTGTGTTTTTTTTTTTTGGATGACAAGAGAAACTCATAGCCACTATTCGAGAGTATACATCTAGCAAATCTTGTCTTGTGGCTTTGACGGTCAAAGGACCATATGGAAGTAAACCAGCCTAGTATGTTCATAGTTGAGTGGCTCAACTCAAGCTAGAAGGCCATCTAATAGCCACTTACATGGGAAGTCGAACTTACCAAGAAGGCCAACAACCTAGCTCTCAAAGGGAGTCAAACTTAAAACATTATGGATACCTATAGTCAGACTAATTTTGTTGGAGTTGCCCCGTGCGTGTGTTGTGTACATGTAGTTATGCATGTGTTTGATTTGTGTGTTTATGAATAAATTTAGTAGATATATACAGTATGAAGAAGAGAATATATGTCTGTTACTTACCACACTGAGATTGATCTTTGACTTCAGTGACAGCTCCCTTCTTTTTCCAGTCCAAGCTGTCTGAAGCTTCACCAACATGGCTCCCATTTCCAATAGGGTTTCTTCTTGGAAACCTATTAGGGTGGAAGAATATGTTGTCTTCATTAAGAAACATGGACCGGAACTCCTCGTGACTCAAATCTGAAAATTTATTGAGGCCTAACTTATAAGATCCGTTGCCTGCTTTGTTGAAAGACTCAATGTACTCTAAGTTTTGTTTGAATATCTTAAATCTTTTGGCCTTTTCAACATGATCCCTGTAAGAACGTGAATGGTGAGCCATCCACTCCTCGTGGCGCTGGAGCAAGGATGCCTCTTCAAGGGTTCGGGAAGTGGCTTCAAAAGCGCACGCCCCGAAGAGAAAAAGGAATGCGAGAATGAATTTGTAGGCCATTATGGTGTAGCTAGAGAAGCAAGCTAGGTTTTTAGGGGATGGTGTGAAGTTTTGTGAGGATTTGTGGTCACCAGCCTTGATTATTTATAGGGCAAATGTTAGAGATAATATTAATGTTAAATGCATGCATGCATGCTTTTTTGCCGTGTGGAATGGGGTAGAATTATTAATCCATACATGATGCATACTTGGTTGTTAATCTTTATTAGCGTCCACACTACAGGTGTTGCATACAATATATTGTACTAGCACTGCATAATACACGTTAAAATGTGCGTTCTAGGTAAAACTTGTCTTTTAACCATAACCGATAAAGAACTACAAAGAAGTAAATCAAGATTTACATTGTTCATATATATATATATATATATATATATATATATATATATATATATATATATATATAGTTGATTATCTCAAACAGATAAGATTAATATATAGACAACTTCCAATCTCCCATCAGAGTCAAACTTGAAACATTGTTCTTACGCTGTTGGAAATTATAGAATTGTGATCTTAAATCAAGTCGAAAGTCTTGTTCCGACCACTTTTGGTATCCGGAGAAATCTTTATTGCTATTTATTCCAACCACTTTTTACTTTCAACTTGATTTAAGATCACTTTCAAGTGGTCAGAAATTTTATAATTTTGAGTAACACTACTCGCTAAGCCAACTGTCCAACTTATACTTGACATACATTAATATAAATTTTTGATCAAACACAAGATATAGTTCAAAAAGCTTTGGGATTGTATCAGGTGCAATATGAATAAATCGATTGCCTTATGAAGTAAGTTAGTAGTTGTCAAGATTTTATTGGAAAATTGACCTCGTATTTCTAATAATTTTGTTTTCGTATGGGATTGAATTGCCGAGTGTCAAGGAAAAGCTGTGGGAATCTGGAAATTAAACTTTTTGATACACGCAAAATAAAATTGTTTGGTTATTGGAAAATGGTGGACCTGCTTTTTCTTGCTTTTTGAAATGATGAATAATGTTATTAAGAAAAAAGCTGTGGGAATGTCGAAAATTTTCCATGCAGACTTGGCTCCACCAACACAGACTTACTATACGCAAGCGAGACATGCGTTGATCCTCTAATCCGCCCCTACAGTTTAGAGAATAATTATAGTAAGCAGTAAACAAATATATAACCTATATGTTCAATTGAGGTATTATGATTTAATCTTCTCAAATGCTCTGTCGTAATAGGGATTTTGAATTCAACCTTATAAAAACAATAACAGAGAATAATTATTGTAGAATATTTTTTACTAGAAACGATAAGTTGTTATAATTAAATATCAATTACAAAGAATCAAGAAAACAAAGAGAATTTTCTCTCTTGAAAAACGAGAGAGTTATGGTTAAAAAGTTCTAACTATACTATTTATTTTTCTAATAATATGAAAGGAGATGGTAGTAATTTGTACGGGGTGTAATTTTATCAATTATAAAATATGTTACGGAGTACAAAAATATTGCTTATGTCTAGATAACCAATAATTTGATGTTAATTATATTATTGCCACTTATTATTTACATTTGTACGTGAATACGAAGCTCAGAAAACAATAAAATTTCAAGTAGTTTTGAAGTTTTTTAACTTAGAGATGGACATAGAATTGCTCAAAATATAATCCTCCAAGTCTCCAGTAACATCGTGCACCGCGATGCATAATCGATTATGCACCGCGCGTCAAAACGGTGCCGTTTCTACAGTTATAACGAAGTGACATTACAGTACGTCTAAACCGACACTGTCTCACGTATTATTTTTATATTATCAAATGAAACTGCAGTTATATCAAAATGATACTGTAATTGTGATGAAATGAAACTACAGTATATATGAAATGAAACTGAATACCATTTCACATATTTGAGTGTATATTGTACAATGAAGCTGTAATTATATTAAAATGATCATGTAGTTGTGTTTTAATGAAACTATAATGTATATAAAATAAAATTAAATAACATTTCTACATATTTGAGTGTATAAATATTGAATGAAACTGTAGTTATGTTGAAATGAAACTGTAGTTGTATTGAACTGAAACTGCAGTGTATACAAAATGAAACTGAAGAACAGAGTTATTTTTTGCAAAGATTCTATTTCTTTTCATTAAATAAAACAACGTTGTTTAGATGCGCGGTGCATAATCGATTATGCACCGCGGTGCAAGATATAGTTTGCCCGCAAATTATGCTGTGCAACCGAATGCACCTTGCAAGGTGCATACGGTTGCAAAACGGCGCCGTTTTGGTTTAAAAAAAACGCGCGTCCCACTTAAAGAAGAAATCAGGTTCGATTCCCAGCAATAGCATTTTTATATATCCAGAAATTCATAACTATATAACCACAATTTGATAACTATATATCCACAGTGAATGAATGAAGTAAAAATCCACAATGAATGAATGAATGAAGTAAAAATCCACAATGAATGAACGAAATATCCACAATATTTGATTGAACTAAATATCCACAATGAATGAACTAAATATCCATAAATTCATAACTATATAACCACAATTTCATAACTATATAACCACAATTTCATAACTATATATCCACAGTGAATGAATGAAGTAAAAATCCACAATGAATGAATGAATGAAGTAAAAATTCACAATGAATGAATGAATGAAGTAAAAATCCACAATGAATGAACTAAATATCCACAATATATGATTGAACTAAATATCCACAATGAATGAACTAAATATCCATTAATTCATAACTATATAACCACAATTTCATAACTATATATCCACAATTTCATAACTATATATCCACAATAATGCTATTGCTGAGAGTCGAACCTGATTTTTTTTTTTTAAATGGGACGCGTGTTTTTAATCAAAACGATGTCGTTTTGAACCGTATGCACCATGCGCATGGTAATAGAAGAAGAAGCCCCAAGCTAAGAGGAAGTCAATATAATGACACCATTATCATTCTCGGGCTGGATAGATGTGCACAACCAAACTCATTTTGCCTTAGCAGCCCAGTCCACAAATAACTTATAAAATATTGAAACTTAAAATGTACAAGCTAAGGTATGGTAGTCCCCCACCCAATATATATATAAAATGCTCACCAAACCTTCTCATCTTACATGCCCATATTTAGCCCAATTCCTTGAGACACGACAGTTATGCCATGGCAAGCTGGACCCGAGTAAAAATATACAATTTATATATTAATTATTCACAATTTACATACTGAATGTTCAATTCAGATTTTGGATGGAACCTAAGCCGGAACATTTGGTTTCACAAATAGATTAAAATAAAATGATGATTTCTCTTCAATAAAATGTTGTTTTTCATTTGATATACAGACCAGATCAGAGGTGCACACCAGCAGTGCACAAGTACATGAAACTAAAACAAGAAACATATATCAACTCTGATCATCTCACCCTAGTAAGGCAAGCTCTTAGAGCTAGAACTACTGACCAAAGCCGCCTTAAGCCTGGCCGCCGATGACGACTCTCCTTCCCCGTTGGCTCGCCGAGTAATGGTTTCCATGTTCTTATACAAGCTCTGCTTCACAATACTCTTCATCAACCTCTTCCCCTCGTCCACTTCCCTGGGATGCACCGGCGAACCCAGGGTCGTCGCTCTTCTCATCTGCGGCCCCGAATGAGGCCCCATTCTGCTCCGCCGCTCATCCTTGAACCATTGCAGCAGTTTCAGCGCCCGTTTCTGAGCCAATGCACTCCCCAACAGCGCCACTTCAAGCAGAACCGCCACGATTCCCGCCTTCGCCATTTTCTCCCTCTCAACTGAGCTCTGGTGAGCCAGAATCATCAGAATATATACTGATAGTTCCTGGGATTTTGGCTTTTCTTCCCATGTCATTATCTCGATTAGGCTCTCGGGCATCACAGGGCTCTCTTCCAGAGCCTTTTTGCCGGTTAAGGTTACAGCCAGGTTTCCTAGTACTGCCAGGGCCTTGTCTGAAACTTCCTTAATTGAACTTAAGTTCAAGAGGATGCTGACCACTCCGTTTTTAACCAAGATTCCTGCGTTTTCCAGAACTGAAGACAGGTTGTGCAGTGTTGATAAGCATAATTCTATGGTGTCGTTGTTTGTGCTTGATTCGAGGATGCTGACGAGAAACGGAACGATTCTTGATGTGTTGATCGCAGGTAACTGGGCGTTGGCTAAGGATGTTATTGAAAGTAGGAGCTGTACAAATTCTTGCCTTGTCGACTCCTCCGAAATGTCCATTTTTTCTGGGAATTTTGATAGCAGTCCTGCCTCCACCATTAGAGCCTTGTTCCTGGAAACACAAACAAGAAATCAGTAACTCCAACCAAATTGGTTAGACTGTATAATCGGTAACTATAAAATTACAAGTTTGACTTTTAATAGAAGCAGCCTATTGATTTTCTTGGTTTGAGCTAGCTAGCTCATTGTAACTCATTGTCAGCTAGGATCACAATGGGAAGTTTACTCAGTGTACACCAGATATATAATGACTGCGGGTTTTCTCTTGACCAAACAAAAAAAAAATCATCTAGCTAATTACTTAGTGATTAATTAGACCAATTAATGTTCTTGCTAATGAATAAGCTGTGTTAGGCAAGTTCATATTTCCTATAATGGTGGTCCAAATGAAATTAAATAAATATGCCGTATACAGATGAAAACTATGCACAGAAGTCAACATGATTCTCCAAATCAGATCTGCATTGAAATTTGAAGGTCAACACTGCATTTTCAATTACCTAAGAGCTAAAGATATAGTATTTTTAAATGATATGTTAATATCTATATTCCTACAGCCAGGAAAGAATAACTTGTCTCCTCCTACCAATGCCCATAGTTCACTGTCAGCTAAACTTGTGGGGCTCAATAACAATTAATTAACAATATAAATATATAATAATTATAAGCTCATATACAATAAACAATACTATATATCCACATGCACCCTCTAAGGTGAGAAACTAAGAATAATCCATTAAGTTGAATTAATACTAATTCGGTTGAGTTTTAATCAAATCTCATTTAGGTGACAACTCTTTCAAGGGTGTTACTGCATACACATAAATTGAAATATTTGACCACAAACATCTATACATATATAAATACTCTACATTTAGTATAAAATGACTAAGATAATTCGGCTGAAATTACTTAAAAAGAGATTAATCCAGCCATCATATTTACAAGACCTTATTCTTTGCACTATTGTACACTTTGAAAAAATCTTTATTGAAATTCATCTCTTTTTATTTTATACCAAGAGAATTATTACTTGGTCACTTATATTTAATATTAAATTATTACTTGATGTATCAATATTCCGAGTAAGTCAATTGATGATTATGGGTCAGTAGCAACTTGATTAGTAACTTGGAAAAAGGGGGCCGGGGTGGAAGCTCTTAGTCCTCCACTACAAAGTCAATTTGACTCATCTAACCATAACATCATCTCTTAAGCCAACAATTATTACTCCGTATAATTAAAAATACAGTAATGACAGTCCAATCAAATTCATTAGACAATAGTAAAATTTTAAATTTAACTTTTCATAAAAATTGTCTATATAACTCATTATAATTTATTATTAACTAGAATTATAAAGTTGTGACATTTTAACTATTCTCAGTATCATAAATTTTTTAGGATTTACCATAATATAGGCCGAGAAACAGAGGATTGCAGCCGTGCCCTGCAGTGGGGCAGTGGCAGCCGTCACGTGCTTAAGTCAAAAATGGCCACTCGGGGCCCATTATGGTTATTTGGTTAGATTCCTTCTGAGTAGTTACTAGTTAGTTATAGACCCAATAGCATGATGCCACGTCATGAATGCACTGAATCCCACTAACTTAACCCTCATTAATGATAATTAAACCTGATTTAATTCGCATTAACATTTTTCGGTACACCCAACAATTTTTTTAGTCTCAAATTATGTAATGCCCGTCTGCCAAAATATTATCTTCGTATTTTTCAACAAACCTGGCCTAACTCCATTACATCAACTCATAATTTTCGAATATTTTTAGAAAAAAAAATACAAGTCACATTTTGTATAATTCAATAGTAGTGTAAATGATCTAATACAAATTATATTTTCTTGAATGTGAATCAGAAATTAGCCTAGAAACTTATAATCTTCTGATTATTAAGTCAATCATGAACCAACTTAACTGTGTTGTCTTTCTGTGTTTATTTATTTATAAATAATTGATTAATTGTATAGACAAAATTAGAAGAGAAAAATGGAATTAAAAATGAAGAGAAAGAATTTAAATGAATAAATGAAATTAGGAAAATAATGATGAGCTTACGTGTACGAGCCATTTGCGAGTTCAACCAATGCTTGAACCGCCAACCTCCGTCGCTCCGCCACCTGAGAGGCGAACATGGACACCAACGGCGGAATAACGCCGAGCTCCGCCATGGATTTCCGCCGCTTCAAGTCCTGCTGCGCCACCGTCTTAATCTCCATCGCCGCCGCCTCCTTCTCTTCCCAGCTCCCGAAGTGAAGTTTCTTCACGGACTTCTGCAAAACCGCCCAACCGCCATCGCTCTCTGCTTTCCTCTCCATAACTACTCCCTCCTCTCTCTTTCCTCCTCCGATCACACCATCATCATCCGGCGGCCTGTATTCCTTCGGGGAAGCCTTGACGTGCAGGAGGAGCCGTCGGATTCTACTGAAAAACCTCAGCTTTCTGCGGGCGTATAACCATTTGGTAGTATGAAAGGTGGAGGCGTTATTAGGAGATGTTAGAGAAGACATATATGGAGGAAGGGGGTGGGTAGGGATGATCAAAAAATCTTTGCGTAAGGCTCTGAAATTCAAATTTCAATTTTGTATGTATATGTCTGACTTTTGATGAATATATATGGAGTAGTGCTATATGTATGAGACAAGGAGGAGAAGACTTTGCGAGAAAATACAAAGAGCAGAGAGCACATGTGCACAGGCGTAATTCTGTCACTTTTTTTTATGTGATCTGAATCACAATAACGTAATAAGAAATTAAATATATTTTGTAATTTGATGGAATTCAAAGAATGAATTAAATAATGAGTTCGAATTAAAATCGGATCGGATTAAGACTCGATTAATGATCAATCAGTGAATTACTCGGATCTTGTAAGATTTAAATATCAGTGTAGTATGCAAAAATAATGATCAAATTATAAAATGTATCATATCTTTAATATTTTTACTATCTTCACAGGGGTAGAATATTTTATTGTATCTTAAAATTTTCCAATATTTAACAAGTCTCCTTGTATAAAAATTAAAATATTTCATATAAATTGAGTCTTCAATTCCTAATACTATTTAGGGGTGTAAACGAGCCGAGCCGAGCCCGAGTCTGGGTAGGCTCATGCTCGTGCTCGTTAATGATAGCACTTCTCGAGCTCGAGCTCGAGCTCGTTCGAGCTCGTGAATTGATGCTCGAGCTCGAGCTCGGCAATTGTCGAGCTGCTCGAGCTCGAGCAGCTCGATTGTTCGAGCTCGAGTTTAGGCTCGAATTTGAGGTCAATTTTGATATCAAATTTGACCTGTTTGATTCAAAATTTAAACTACTTTGTTTTATGACTTTTATCCATACATAATTATTAAAGTATTTTAATTTCACTCCCCTAATTATTATTTTTATATACTAAATATAATATAATTATATTACATATTATATATTATATAATATATTATAAGGCTCGCGAACGGCTCGTCGAGCCGCGAGCCTACAATACCTAAGCTCGGCTCGTGCTCGTTTAATCCACGAGCTACTCGAGCTCGAGCCGAGCTCAATTTTAACCGAGTTCGAGTCGAGCGTTAACCGAACCGCTCACGAGCGACTCGCGAGCAGCTCGGCTCATTTACACCCCTAATACTATTTACTGGTGCATATTATATTATTACATAAGATTAAAATTTACCTAATACGAATTATTGTATAGTAATATCCATTTTTCTCGTTATCTTAAAAAATTAATTCATACAAAATTGTTCACAACTTTTTTCAGTACGAGGAAGATGATTTTGTTCTTGAAAAGTCCTCTTTTCCACTAGTCAAGCTGTTGGGTTTGCTTATTGGAGATTTGCCCCGTGATATGATCAAGGAGGCTAATACAGTGTTTGTACCTAAACGTTACTCATAATTACAAATAGTATATCACGGAGTATAAATTAAGGAAAAATTGCATTTTTTTCGTTTCTGTGTTAGTCATGTTCACTTTTCACCTATTTTTTTTTTTATCCTAGTCACTATTTAAAGGTGACTTGTTATTTTTAAAAAATCACATGTCACTGGTGAAACTTGATCCCTGATAATTCTTTTTTTTAAATTTTATCCTTGTAACCAACTAAACTGCTCATACTTTATGATTATCAAACAAATTGTTTAATCAACTTGACTAAAGACGCCCATCCATGATAATGTGACGTTGATAGTTGATCCTAATGAGAAATTAAATTTTCCTTAGCTCTACAATTGGGCGGGCGGTGGTGGGGGTCGGGGCGGTGGGGGTCGGGGCAACTAATAGCATAGTCATTACTTTGTTGAAAACCGTCTTAGTTGTTTTGTTTGTAACCACTAAATTTGTACACAATCATATCATTCATATGCACAATATGCTTAGTTAATATATTCACAATTTGTTAATTGAATTTAGAGTTTCTAGGAGAAAGCTTATTTTTAGTAAAAAGAGAGAGAGAATGCTTATTTAATCGAAGTTTGATTGCATTATATACAAATTTAAAGCACTTTTATATATTACGCTCGGTCCCCTCGGAGAATGTAAAAGTAAAGATTACAAAAATTTATACCTAATCATATCCACGATATCAGTAAAAAAAAATTAGACTTAAATTTTTATCAAATTTGTAAATTTTAATAGTTGAGTACTAAATGTGATAAAGATTTAATAGTCGTGGGACAAAGTCTGGACATTTTAATTGTCGTGGGACAAGAGAAGAACATGATCGCTGACTGGCTAGCTAAAGTGGCGCCAAGAAGAAAATGTGAGTGGGTTGAATTCAGTACTTATCCGGAAGAAATTAGCAACATCATGAGGACTAATAGAAAGTTGTTGGCCTCAGAGAATAGAGGCTAGAGCCACTGGGTACCCCCCCCTCCCCCCCCCCCCTCCCCCACAAAATAGTCAACGACTAAATGTGGTAATATTTTAAAAGTCATGGGGTTAAATATAAAAATTTTAATAATTGTGGACGAAATGTGACAAGAATTTAAAAGTTGTGGAATCAAATTTAATAATTTTAATAATCAGGGACCAAATGTGACAAGAATTTAAATTAAATGTCGTGAGATCAAATATGAAAATTTTAATAGTCGAAGACCAAATGTGAAAATAATTTTATACTCGCGGCACCAAAAATGAAAATAACTCAGTATAATTTTACAAACTCAACACATTTCTAAAATAACAACTGATATTGTAATTGTATTTTTAAAAACTATTACTTTGGTTCCTCGTGCCACAAAATAATCACGATGGGAGGACTAAAATAGCTACTTAGGTGGACCAAAATAACCATTTTCTCAAAAATAATTAATGAGTACATACGAAACACAGTAATATTTTTTTAAAATACTCTGTACTAGATTTGCAACACACTATTATTTTAGGGACCAACAACTTTTTTCCAACAACGATTTTTTATAAGTATCATGTGGTTTTAATGAAAAATGCTATTTGGACCACATTGTGTTATCAAGCACTATCAAATGACATGACATTTGATAAATGTCACAAAAGCTTTACATTTCTTAAAAAATTTGTGAATTGATCAATTATGTTCCAATTTAATTAAATAAAATCACTTCAATAAGCTGATTAATATTTCAGTAAATTTTAAATTTTTGGTGCATTATTTTTTAAATAACGATTACGTGTATTCATAGAGAGTGTAATTTGCCCTACTAAACTCAAGTTAATAAGGATTTTTTCTGGGAGTAATTAATTGGTCATTGATTTTGATGAACAACATTAATATGCCTACCTGGGAGTCAGGGTCCATCATGCTCTATGTTGGTCCCGAGTCTTTTAATTTTGATTTTGACAGCATTCACATCATCAATATCTGTAAGAATTCAAATTTTATTTTTGAATGCTTAAATTAATTTATCCTCATTTAATAAATACAAGATAATTTTTGAACTAAAATCTTTATAATAAAATCGTTACCAAATTATAATAGGTCATGCATGCTCCACCTCTCTTAATTAGTTAATAACTACATTAATATTTTTTGTGTGTGTGACCACGAGATTTATTGAATATACCATAATTATAGGAGACACTTTAAAACCTGTATCACACTTAGACTAATCACTGTTTGCACTTGACAAAATTATGGCTCACTACATTAAACTTTTATGAAATATGTTTAAATACATATATATTGAGCACATAATATGTCAAAAAGTAATCAGTCTACACACGTAGTAGCCTATTGAATATATCTGGTTACAAAATTTAATCCACCACATTAAGTTGTTAAGCAAAAAAAAGTCTAAATGCATGCAGATGATGAATCTATCTCAAATTTTAAAATCGCATCTGGTATTCAAAAAAATCACATCTGGTATATTAGCTGTACCAGCTAGTACAGCCACAAGTACCCTGTTGCAGTTAAGTAGTACATGTAATTATCTATGGCAAGCATTTATTGCAGGGACTGGATCCAATCCACAGTTCATCAACCAATATATATATATATATATATATGCACTTCTGTAGACTGTACTTGTACTGCAGTTCTGTATCTGAAGACAGCGATGGAACAACAACATCAACTGAATTAAAACTCATAAATTATTTTGGCTCTTAAATTAGCTGGTTTTCATGAATCTGATCTGACACAAATCATTTTCCGAGGTTGATACTTAACTACAATGGGAGTGTTTGTAGAATTCCTCCCGAATCCAATCAATATCGTGTATACATTTAATTTATGCATCTGATTAGATGGATATTTATTGTGTATGTCTCATATGTATCAGAAGATAGAGCAGTGTTAGATGAAACGGAGCAAAGCGAAGTTCAAGTATGTACATAGATAATTTTGTATATTTACCATGTTTAGGGTTGCATATTTGTTACTGGTAACCTTGGATGTTTTATCATCACAATTAATAAAAGAACAATTCGGCTCTCAACATTAACATGTTGTCGAACCAGGTAAATTTTATCTTCTTTATTTTATGTAATTGTTGGACAGAAGCCGGCTAAGGGCCAAGTCCAGCAATTGGTGACTAGGGGAACTGTTGGGCGGAGACCGGTGAAGACCAAGTTCAACACCCTCCCTCTTAAAAATGTGTGATGGTGGTATGCCGGTATATAAGGAAATAAAGTTGTGCTTTCGCTATGAGCTATAGCTTTTAGCGTAGTGGTAAGCGCTTGATCCCAAGTTGTATCATAGCCAGGTCACGCAGGTGCTGGGAGGGGAATTGTTGGGTAAAGGCCGATAAAGGATCAAGTCTAGCAATTGGTAGCTATGGAGATTGTTGAGCGGAAGCCGATGGGTCAAGTCTAACACCCTCCCTCTCAAAAATGTGACGGTGGGATTTTGATGTAATGATAAGCATTTGATTATATGTTCTCGTTAATCTCAATAGATTTCATCATGTGACGAACATTAATCTTCTGGTTATTGTGTCATCATCGTCACAGGATGCATGCAGGGGCTTGTATTATCCAGCTATGCTCCAGGCCACCTTAAAGGCTTAAAACCTTAATTAAGGTAATTAATAATAACGAATTAAATAAAGATCATTAATTGTTATGCATTGTGCTGAACGTGGACCCTTAGATTTGAAACTTGAAAGTAGACAAAAGAGAGACAGAAGCGGCAAGAACACACGTACGTGTGAGAGGAGAGGAGCCTAGATAATTGAGTTTTCTGTTGTCAGATAATCAAATTAATTAATATGAACCCACCAAATCTTAGGCTAACATGCATGCCGACGTTGAGGTGATACGACCAAAAAGAGCGATGGATTTAATTAATTCGAATTAGCTCCAATAACTAAACCCGATAATAAAGATAAGGACAATATGAAAATAAATATAAGAAATATATGTGTCGCGGAGATAATTCTTGTATTAATAATAGTTTGTAGGAGAATTACAAGGAGTTGTAATAACTAGACAAAGGTAGATTAGATGTCTAATCAAGACAATAATGAAAGATTTTATACTAGGCTTCCTCGTAACCGCCCCCACGAAAATAGGGTGGGCGGTTGGATCTCCTTTGACCGAGTCTTTGCGCGTAGCGCACAAGGCGGGCACCCCGGCCGATGATACCCCACGCTGATGCCGCCCCGACTACCTCTCGCTGAGGTCGACCTGGGCCGAGGCCGCCCGGACCGGGCTACCCCTAGCCGAGACCACCTCGACCTCCTCACGCTGAGGTCGACCGGGTCGAGGCCGCCCCGGACCGGGCTACTCCTAGCCAGACCACCTTGCCAAGGCCACACCTCGACCTCTTCCTGCAGAGGTTGTCCCGGGCCGGGCTACCCCTAGCCCGGGTCGTCTCCACTTCTCCTCGGCCTGGGTTCATCTCTAATATATCCATAGGATATATATACACACACCGGGGAGAGTCCTATATTTTTTTTTAGGGTGGGGAGAGTCCTATATGGTATATCATATTATCATGATTTCCCTCCAATATATCAGCTCTAATATAGTTAAAACGAAGGTTACATATAAAGAATATTTTTGATAGGATTTGAATCTTTAAGTTAAAATAGAGAATCTTCTTTTAACCAAAAAATTATGTGTATAATAATAGATTGGTTCAATCTTATATATTATACGATAGCTGGCATTTACGTGCTACACCCTCGTGATTGATCTTTTGATTCTTTTCTTTAGTGAATTATAACCATCCCTGATAATAGAGAATATTGATATAACCTTATTAGATTGATGTATTTTCTTCCATTTCTCTATGGTGAGGAAAAAGGGGAAAAACAGTTGGTAATCAAAATTGCACAAATATTGAATTCTTACTATTGCTCAAATCTAATAGAATAGTTGGTTTATCTACCCATCATAATTAATCCAAAAAACCATGCATGATTTGGTCAACGAACTTAGGAAAAAGTATTGGAGAAACCAAATAGATTGCTATATATATATATATATATATATATATATATATATATGGACGTCAATACAACCCAACAAGTTAGCTCAAATGGTAAATGAGCTCTCTTTGTGGGGGAGAATTCCTGGACCGTTAAACAGACAGAGAAAGATAATATTATTACAAGCGACATTGCAGAAGATGGTGGGAAAATTGGCCCTGTTAGATTCTCCCATGTGCTTTGAAAGGGGAACAAGTGCGCCGACTAATTCGTCAACCGTGGACAACATGAGAATTGGGGGATAACAGTCCTTGATGAAGTGCTGGATGATCTTACTACCCTCCTGCATGCCGATGCAGGAGAGCTATAACCTTAAGAACGGACTAGGCTTGTGAAGCCTGTCCTGCAAATTAAACGCACTAAAAAAATGTTAATCGATAGTTTTTTAGTGAATGATATTTCAATTAAAAGTGTTAGACAAATGAAACCATTTAATTTGACTTATACATATATTCCTTAACCTAATCTGTTTTATTAATGATATGATATCATAGAAATTAAAGGTAGTAGCTTAGTTAGGTTAATTATTGGCCTAGTACGATGGGGATTGGGGAGGCCTTAATCATCGTCTAATAATTAGAGTTCTAAATTTGTTTTATAATCCAGATGAGATAATAGCTAGATAGAGATGGCAATGACTAAGGGAGGGGAAGTTATATTCTCCCCATGTATCGCTCCCAATTAACCCTGAATCAAATTAGTACAATTTTCAATATTCAAGTAAAAAGATATTTTCAAATATTGCAATGTCATTGTCATGTGGACAGACTTAACGAAAAAAATAAATAATGTTAAAAGTATATATAACTAAATTAAACAAAACATGCACTATAATACATGAATCAACAGATACTTTAACTTAACTTTTATGGAAAATTAAATTTAGAATGTTGTAATCACCCCGCGTCAAGAATAAGATTTAATTTACTATTCGTATCAGTTCCAGGTAGGATTCCACTTAAGCCTTTTCCTATCTTGAATTGAACATATAATAATATCGGAAATGTGAATCACAGACCCATATATACAAATGCTTATCAGCTTATTTATTTATTTATTAACCTTTTTTTTTTTGGGTGGTTGGCGATGTCCAGAAGTGGTGCGCCTATGATGTGTTCCACGCACAAATCCCAACTTACAAACATATGGTTCCAAAAAATCCCATCAATAATTTGTATTTAGAATTATAGTTATACTTGTTGGGAGACCGTTTCACAAATTTTTATATATAAGTTGGGTCGGGTTAATATGTAAATGTTATATTTATATTAACAAATATAATACTAAATCAGAAATAAAATGTTTGTTACTTAAGAAATATATTAATTTTAAGAAAAAATGTAATAATTTTATATTTTGACGTAAAAGTATTACTTTTTTTTTTTTCATTAAAAGTATGTTGCACTTATAAAAAAGAAAATGTAATATTTTTTTATGACCTTTTGCTGAGTTCAAATTCCCTTGTTATTGGTGCTCCTTTGTAAATGAATAGTTATGTCTATGCAAATTATTGTCTCCACAAACAAAAAATTACAAGTTGTTTTGGGACTATAAATTTCAATTCCTATGAAAATTGCTTAGCATTATCAAAATCTACTAGACATTTCCTAATAAATTTTTTTCATGCAAATTGCTTAGCAAAGGCTTGTAATCGGAAGACTAATTTAAGTAATTGTAATGAAAAGTGAAAATTGTCATTTGAAAACCAAAAGCACATCTTGCATAGATTAATTGCCATTTGAGAAGCAAAAAACACAATTTAATTTCTCAATTGAATAATCACTTTTTGAACCAAATGATGAAGCTGCAAAATGTTTGCCAAAGCTTTTTGGTGGGTTCTTTATGCACTTAAAAACTTTCCAACATCTTTTGAATGGCAAATCATCAAATCAGATCATATCTAAATAGACTAAATCAAAATCATCATCATAATACATAAAACACCAACACATATATACATGGAACGACTAAGGCTGCGCTGATAGTAAATGGAACTAAAAAATGGAGAGCCCACAATGTGGATTAACCAACACTAAGAAAACATCAAATGAACCTTTTGATGTTGCGCTTTTTTTTTTTTTTTTACCAAGTTTTTTGTCATGGCTGGACTATATCCTGAATTTCATAACTCATGCTATACACTTTTGCACACAAGGAGTCCAACTCAGACCCAAACCACAATATTTGTGACAGAAATCGAACCCAACCTTCCCATTGGAAGCAAGTCTTAAAGGAGACTTCTCATCCATTAGATTAATATTCTGGGCATCTGTGACTTTTTTTTTTTTTCTTACCTTAATCAATTTATTTGACAATTTGGTTTCAAATATTAAAGTGTCATAATATATATTACATTATTGTAGGAAAACAACACATCCTTGACCAAGAAGCAATACCTCAAATAACTTGGTAAGGGTACATGCAACATATCTTATTATGTGGACTTTAACAAAGGTGTTGGATGAAGCTATCACTGATATATACCATTACAATCATACCAGTGTATAACACTTGATATATTCATGCCAAGTATGCAGAATCGAAGGAAGAAATCCGGTGCCTCTTATTCGGATACGGCGCTATCTTTGAGTACTCAGGTGGCTTCGAATCCTTCTCCAGGACAGACCTCAGAGTCTGCTGAATGGACCTCACGAGAACCTCCCACGCCTCGCTTCTTCCATTGCCCCCGTGGATGACATCTCTGAAGAAGAACAAACACTTAACTCGACCCCCCAAGATCGAGATTTCTGACTTCACCAGATTCGAGCCAAGGGAATCGACGCATTGCCTTAAATCAGACAACAATTCTGGCCTGTAATCACAACAAATAGACGCCTGGAAAAAACGAGTCCCATCTTCTCCTGCAGTCCCACTCACTTGTTCGACTTGTATCTCATCAGAGTCCATCGGAAGAAACAAACTGTCACTCACTTGTCTCGCGCTTTCCTTCAACTGTTTTACCTGTCGAATGACCTCAGCTAACAATGCAGCTTTATCCATCTGTGCACAAGTTGAGATCATATAATAATTAGTCTTTACCTGACAAAAGTCAAATGTTTAACTAACTATCGTTTGGTTGCTTCTGTTCCTAACCTTAATAATACAACTAAAGAAATAATCCGTGACATCATAGTAAGATATATGTAATTCATAATAAATTTAAGGACAATACTCACCTGCCGGCTCTGCACCCTGCAATTTGGTCAACACACATAAACATCATGCATGATGAATTGACATTGATGATTTATATAATCAGCCGACAAACCAATCTTAGTTTTGACAATGAAGAGTCAATAATTGTTTATAATAACCCAACAAAAACAAGATTAGCTAAGAATAGATGGTAACGTTTATATAAGAAAAGAACCTTATACATCAAGAGGACCACAAGAAAGCAAACTATATTAACATAGACAGCGACAACATTGCATTTTAATCAACTGATATGGTTTTGCTGCTAGTTGTCCGAGTTTTTAATTTATTCAGTTCTGTTATGCGTGTTGCAAATGCTATTGATATCAAACTTAGCTTCCAAATCTAGATTGTAGTGATTCTCCTATGTCATTTTTACGTATATATTGCATTGACAAATTCAAATATTATTTGTGCTTAGATACAAGCATCTCAGAGAAAGTGCTATTTTGAGTCTGTTTTCGTAGCCTAGAACGTTCAAGCTCGAGCTGAAACAGTGAACTGAAGTAAAACTCAACAGAACCGAACAACGTTGTTAAGCTCATTGATCAACAATTAATGTACTAGCTGAATTAATTTCAATTCAAGAATTAGAACCAAGCCAACTTATGACCAAATCTCCACTTGTTTACATTTCTCTAACTAGAATCTCTGTCAATATTGAATCCTTCTACATTCAATAACATAAAGAAATTATTCATGCCGGCACGAGCAGCTCAGTTGGTTCTACCAGTTAGTTCCTAGGTAGTAGATTGTGGGCAAAGAAACAGGATCGAGGCCTGGCACACCCAATATGGTGGGCTCCTTGTGGGCACCAGGCACCGGTCCTACACAGCTGAGTCGCCGTGATTTACCCTTTCACTATCCTATGGCTCGGGGGCGAGGAAATTCCGCCTTTTGTGGGCAAGAAAGTCTTTCTATATCTTAACCAAGTTTACAAAAGAACAAGTAAATTACCTTTTCATTTGAGGGAACAAGGCTGCGAAGGGTGGCAAGATGAGCATTGATCCTCTCCCTTCTCCTCCTCTCTGCCTCACTGTGGCTCTTCAAAGCAGCTGTGGTTTTAACACCTAATCCACCATCCTCACCTTTCTTCCTCACCACTCCACAAGTCTTCACCAACTCACATTTCTCACTATCCAAAACCAAGGATTGAGAAACTCCTTTTTCCCCATTTCCCCAATCCCCACTAGACTCCCCTAAATCCCCTACAAATTGATCAACCGTCCCCCCATAAGCCATTCTTTACTATGGCTTTATCACCAAACAATATGGGTACCAAATAGGTGGAATTTCAGAAACAAAAAGTCTTGAATGAAGTATATATGTTGGAATTTCAAGTTTTCAACCCATAAAGACTCAATCTTTCTTTCTTTCCCACCCACAAAATCATCAAAAGCCAGAAACTTTCAACTAAAAATCCAAGTCACCTTACACTATTCCAAAATATAAAGCTATGGGTTTTCAAGAAAACAAAAGAAAAGAACATTATCACAATGCAACTTACGGTCCAAGGCCGGGAGGGTGAGTATTGAGGGAAAACCAAAACGAAGGAATTCGAGCATAAAGCTTGGTGGCGGCTCCGGTGGTAGCGCTGCTAATTAGAGGTGTGATCATAACTGCCATGAGGGGGCGAGAGGAAGGACAAAAGCGTAGTTTTACCATAAAGCCAACATCCACATCCGTTTCATCTTGAAGGCCTTGCGTTCGAGCATCTCGATGAGGAGTAAAGTCTCAACGTGAGACAGAGTTGTGGGAAACCGATGAATATAGTAAGGAAGGAGATCGAAAATCAAGAAAGAAAAGTCTAAAAGTGAATTTCTTGTGCTGGGAAAAAAAAAAAAGAAAAAAGAAAGAAAATCAAGAAGAGACAAGACAAATGAAGGCTTTAGCAACAGCAGTGGTGAATGGTGATCAGCTTTAGATTTTGGAGCATTATATATAGAGTCGTAGACTGGCAAAAACTGAGAATGAATGTATACAATCAAATTTGATTTTAAAACTAAGGGTGATTAAGTTATGTAATTAACATACAGTTTTGATTATTTAATTTGCCTCAAAAGCACCGTTTTTGCAAATTGATTATATATTTTAAGCAGAGGTGAAAGTTGTGGCTGTTAAAGGTTGTGATGTGATGTAAGGATCTACGGTTTGTTTAGTTAAAAATATTTATGAGTAATATGTTTTATTATAGTTTGCATAGCAAAGAAAATATAATACTTTCAATGAAAAAAATAATACTTTTTACATTAAAATGTAAAACTATTACATTTATCTTTAAAAGTATTAAGTTTTCTTTTATATAAGTAACAAACATTTGCATTCAAAAAAAAAAAAAATAACAAACATTTTATTCATGTTTTCAAAAAAAAAAAATATTTTATTCATGATTTAGTATTACATTTGATTATTATATTTGTATATTGATTCGATTTAATCCGACCCACTTCACGAATAAAGATTTGAAATAAAGATTTGAAACGGTCTCACACAAGTATGATCATTGTGTAACCCACTTCACGAATAAAGATTTGAAACGGTCTCACACAAGTATGATCATTGTGTAATTAGGCTCCTAACAAAACCCAATTAGACCTAAGTTACCATTAGGTAATAAACCAAGTGTGTAGTTTTTGAACAAATGGGAGATGGGGCTTTTTGGTGTTTTCTTTTTTCGACAAGTGCAAGATTTTTGTGGGGTCCACTGCTGCTGAAATGAAAGCAAAGTTCTCTGCTTTTCTCCGCATGCCGGAGACGTAGCGCATGCGCCCGCTGACGCGTCAGACCTTTTTTTTTTTTTTTTTTTTTTGTCAGACATCTTTTTTGTTTTTTTTTTTTTTTTTGTTTTCTATTTTTTTTCCTTATTCTCTTTCCCTCCTCTCTCTCCTAGTGACATTTAAAAAACGGTGTAAAGTTCAAAGTCGATGAGGATGCTCTAATGGCTAGACATGTCATGTGACTTTTTAAGAAGATTATATTTGACAATGACTTGTGTCTCTGCTGGGCGTCTTCGTGACTGAGTAGGGACAAAGATAAATGCCCTGTTTGGTAAAATAGTTAGCCTATTAGTCAATTTTGATTTATTTGATCACTATTAGTTGTTTGACTTTGTTAAACAATCAATATAAGTGTTTGATTAATTAGCTTTTTGTAACAACTTATTGCTCCAAAATGCTAAAATTCAAAAAACTGTTCAAAGTAGCTTCTTCGATTGACTTTTTGAGAAAGTCATTTTGTATGCAATCAGCTAACTTAATAGCTAATTTACCAAATACTTTTCTACAATCAACTAATATTATCAACTAGTCAAACTCACCAACCAATTAACTAATACCTATCAGCTAATAGTCATTTACCAAACATCCTCGAAGTCATCTTCTTTCGATCCATAAAGATTTAGGTGGATGCTTGTAGGGGATCAGAATCAAAAATATTGTATATATATACACTTGAATACTTGATGGTTTGTGCTAAAAAAGAATACTTGATGGTTTTTACATTTTACAATATATGAGTCTGATATATATACTACTTTAAAAAGACTATTAATATTAATTAATAATTTCTAATTTCCTATTAATTAATTCTCCACACGTTGATTCTTCCTTTGCTTGTATTCTGACTTGGGAAGGATATTGGTACAACTGCCCAACTGAATAAAGTTGTAGAGGGGAAAACTGATGAAGCAAAATGACTTAAGCTAAGGAGTGAACTATTAATTTGACTTTGTGAATATGAAATTATAAACTCATTTAAATGATTATATAGTTTTTAAAATTCAAACTCTGAAAATAGTTTTAAAATAAACTTTCATTAATAAAATTCTTTAAACAAAAGTCAAACAAAATAATAACAATAAAAAAATTAATACATGTCTACTTCTTAAAGTTGTATATTGACATAGTATATTCTTTTTATTAATAATAAGAATAAAAAAAAAAGAGGATCAAATATGTCAATTAAGCTCATGAATTTTAAAAGTAGCAATTAAACACATGAACATGTAATTTTTAAGCATATAGTTCCAATAACTTCCTATCACCTGTAATAGCTAATTTTTAGGGTTCCAACGTGCAATAAGTCACATGGTTCGCTGGTCATAGTTGTCGGCATACCATGATAAAATTCTAATGACGGATTATTATAGGTGAATATATGATTATCAGACCTAGATGCATGAAAAATACATTTTGATATGTTTAATTGCTACTTTTAAAAGTTTAGAAATTTAATTGACTTTTCATATATTTAAAGGACATATTTGATCAAAGAGGCAAGTTTGGTATGTATATTTAGCAATAGTATACTCTTTTTATTAATAAATTATACAGTGGAAAGTTTACGGGTTAATTTTTATTTTCTATTTTAATATATAAAAATAAAAAGTATTTTAATAATTTCAATATTCATGTTTAATTTCCTATTTATGTAAAAAAAAAATGTTTATAGTTATGTGATGGAGTGATATTAGTAAATAATTTTTAAGTTACAAGCTAGAAATTAAACAACCTTTCGATAATACGTAATCGCTTGAAAAATTAAAAGATATAAATTATATTTTTTAATAGTGTCTTTTTCATTTCTTTTCTCATTTGGGGTAAAACCCATTTTAAAATGTGTCATCTTAAAATAATGCCAAAAATAAAAAAATAATAAAAAAAATGTCAAAGCTACAAAGTATATTTAGATTTCGCTTTCACAAACATGATTGCAGATTGGGAATTGAGTTTAGAACATTTCAAAATTCATACATATCTGGTTTATTTAGTGTTTATAATTTTTGTGTTTGCCTGGATTAGCTTTAAAAAATGGTTGCGCAGGTTTTACTATTTGCAGACAGCATATTTTTTGGTTATAACTGTTTGAGACATAACATAAAAACACAAGAAATGATTTATAAGTAAGAAAATTCTTTAAAAATTATTATTCATAATTGATCGGCTCAAACCAAACTGAGAGTTTAACTTGTAATTAATAACTTGACCAATTTGTCTGGAATGCTCGTAAAGTTGTCCAAATTTACATAGTGGGATAATAAGCAGCCTTAGCAAGGCCACACAGTCCACTTTCATCAGCATAATCTCTTTGAATCTTCATATATCCATTTTCACCCCAAGTTGTCCCCCATGAATTCTTTATCACCCAATACTTGTTTTCATCGCCGGCTGTCCCGTATCCGACCACCGTCACCACATGGTCGGTGGACGACTTGCACTCCCCACTAAACACTCCTTTTTTATAGAACTGGAAATCGAAGTCGCCGCCGTCGATTAATACCGCCACCGGCTGATGAGCCACCGCTTGCATTAAAGCCGTCTCGTTCTTGGAAGGGACTTTGTCGTACCCGGAGATTTTGGCCACCTTTTGCGCCGTCCCCATAGCCTTGCAAACACCATCTTTTCCCTTATATGGGTAGTTTTCCTCCGTCGTGAGACCGTTGTTATTGACGATGAATTGGAAAGCGTGGTTCGGGTAGCCTCCGTTGCAGCCGTAGTTTTTGCCGTCGCAGTCAACGAGTTCTTGGGTTGAGAGAGAAAGGAGTTTGCCGGTTTTTAGTTGGTGGATGCCTTCCACTGCCGCCACTGCTGCAAATGCCCAACAACTCCCTACAAAAGTAAGTCAAATTAGTCAACTGTTTACTTAGTAACAACAAAATTACAAGTTTAATCTTTAACTGATCGAGTCTATTGGCCTTTTATATTTAAGCTGATCAACTATAAATAATTTGACTATTAGCTCTAGACAATCATGACTGATTAATTACCCCTTGTGATCATTTATCCGATAAGGTTACAAAACAGGGTTTAGTAATTCAGATTTTCTACATCATTAAAAAAAGTAATCCATAATATACACAAAAACAAATAAAAATACCAACTGGTTGCTTACCACAATCGCCTTGTTGCTTGATGGGTGTGACGGCCCCTTTCTTTCTCCAGTCCACGGCAGAGGGTAAGCCGGTGGCATTAGCGTACCTGAAAGGTTTTGATTTTGCGGCGGACACGAGTCCAGCTTCCTCATCCCGCCTCACAAACCCGCCAATATGTAACCAGCGGAATTCCTCGTTAGTTAGGTCGGCATATTTATTAACACCAAGTTTATACCCTTTATCAGGGCCGGCATTAAAAGTTTCGATACGTTCAACGTTGTTTTTGAATACATTAAAACGCATGTCTTCCTCAGATGCGTCTGCGTAAACTTTTCCATGGTGAGCCATCCATTGCTGATGCCTCAATCGCATGGAGTTTTGGTAGTCGAAGGTTACCCGGGAGGAAGCTACTAGACAGCTCCAAACTCCCATGGTTATTGTGAGGAAGAGAAGAGATGAACAAAGTATTTTAGTGGACATACTCGAGGGGTAATTGAATACGAGGACTAAGGAATTGGTGTTTGATGTGATGAAATGCAAAAGAGTGCAAGAGGTATTTATAGGCACCAAAGGAAGTCTTTGTCTTGTGTTTAATTATATTATTTTTATTGCACCCTAGACTTAGGTAATAGAGACATGCATTTGTTGTTTAGTTTGCTCTTTTCTTTGATGGACGGATGAGATATTGGAAATTATAGTGAAAATAGAACAGTTCCTTTTATTGGTATTTTTTTTTTTTTACCACAATAAGAAGTTTGACTGACTGTACTGATGATGCTTGGATAGTTGGATGACGATTTGCTTTTTGACTGATGATGCTTGGCTTACTAATTTGGACCCCACTTGATTTTTTTTTTAATTTTTTTTTTCACATAACATTCAATATCTCTACCAATGTAAAATTAACTCTTACTCAGGTCGTAGATTGAACCCTGCAAGATTGATGATTTCAATTTGTAATACTTACAATACACATACATTAAAAATAAACAATGATATAAAAATAAAAATATCATATAATTCACAAATCTCACCCATTATACTAGTATGCGGATAACTTTTGTTTTGAACTCAAGTTCAAGTTATTGTTAAGGCCTATGGTAAGTTGGTTGAACAGTTGACTTGGTAATCACAAAGTTCTAAGTTTAATTTTTCGTGTGAGTTGCGTATTAGTCTTATCGAATTGAACTAGTCAACTGTGGGGCACGTAGGCTAGTTTATCTTTTTGTTATTCTTTGCTTGTTAGGCTCGTAATGTGAGATTCACTGAAAGTGCATATTCAGATAGCAGTTGTGGGTATTTCCGTAAATAGAAAAGAATAGAATTTGTTAGAGTAAAATGTAATTCTTTGGGATAATGAGTCAGTCCAATTAATCAAGTTGTAATCAATAGCGGTCTTTGTCAATTGTCATTGTGCTCGTGTAGTGAACTTGGTCCCCTTCCGCACTTACAAATTTGTGTCATGATGCGTCTCGAATTTGGACTGCTCCACTCTCTTTGTCGCATATATTAATTATTATTGTTTTTTTTTTTTAATCAAACCGATAATGTTTTACAACATTTTCCCTCTACTAACAAAAACACGTGTCCCAATATGTGATTCGAATCATTAGTTTACATGTCCATATAATTTATGCGCAAGACATAAATAATTATAAAATTATAGGCAATTGACACAAAAATTTGGATAAGTACGTAAAAGATAAATTTAACATACAAAAGATGTATATATTATATTATAAGAAAAAAAAAATTAAAAGTGGAATTGGCTATATTCACGAAAGTATAAGTAATGAGTACGTACGTAGTAATTTTTGTAGTTGGTAAAAATTGTGGCTTAGAAGAATTGATTGATTTCTTGGTGCACAAGACACACTATGCCCGCAGTCTCTTTGTATTCATCACTAACCATTGAAGGTTTCGGTTGAAACAATAGTGACATTTAATTTTCTACTTTTGAAGCGGAAATAATGAAAATAAAAGTGATAGATATAATATATATTAAATAATATATATATGATTGATGTTGGTGTTGTGTTGTATTTGTAAATCAAGCCACCTATTACCAAATCGTTTACCACTATACCAAAAATTATAATTAGTAGCGAATGTGTAATTTTTATTTTTTTTATACTTGCATAGTCATCAATGTCACATTTGATGACAAGATACTGGACTTGACTCTCTGAGCCGCCACCCAACAAGAACATTTTCATTTATTCATTTTTTAAACATAGAATTGGAACATGAACACCATATTGACATTAATATTTATACAAGGAAATAGAAAAGCTAGAGATGAACACATCCACACATCACAACATATTTATATATTACATAAGATCCAAAGGGTAACAAAGCTAATAATTGGCATTGCATGCATGCCAATTACTAATACACACATATGCTGGCCTTATTTGTAAATACTACATTCTAACCAGCAATTCCTAATACTTAATTAGCTTAGGCAGATTATATATATTTCCCAGACATCATATTTTGTGCTTATAATTGTTGAGCTACAACATATAAACACACGATATAGTTGTCTAAATTTATATAGTGGGATAAGATGCAGCCTTAGCAAGGCCACATAGTCCTCTCTTGTCAGCATAATCCCTTTGAATCTTCATGTATCCATTTTCACCCCATGTTGTCCCCCATGAATTCTTTATCACCCAATACTTCTTCCCGTCGCCGGTTATCCCATACCCAACCGCCGCCACCGCATGGTTGAGCTCTACCTTGCACTTCCCGGCAAACACTCCTTTTTTATAGAACTGGAAATCGAAGTCGCCGCCGTCGATTGATACCGCCACGGGTTGATGAGCCACCGCTTGCATTAAAGCCGTCTCGTTCTCGGAAGGGACTTGCTCGTAGCCGGAGATGGCGGCCGCCGCCTTTAGCACGGTTTTGTTGGCCTTGCAAACGCCATCTTTTGCCTTGTAGGGGTAGTTTTCCTCGGTTGTGAGGCCGTTGTTTTGGGCGATGAACTGGAAAGCGATGTAGGGGTAGCCGCCATTACAGCCGGTGTTTTTGCGGTTGCGGTTGCAGTCAACGAGTTGTTGCTCCGAGAGGGAGACGAGGTTGCCGGTTTGCAGTTGGTGGATGCCTTCCACTGCTGCCACTGTTGCAAATGCCCAGCAACTCCCTGCAGTGCAACTTCAGTTACAATAATAAACTGTTCTTGTTTTTTTTACCAAACTATATTTTGAATCTGGTACCAAGACTATGTGGTCTAATGGTACCCAGGTTGAACTTCCATTTGAAATGTTGTAAGTTCGAGCCTTAGTCAATATACTACGTTGTAATAGAGCCGTTATTGGTTCTTTGTGTTCCAGTAAGTAAATATTTTGAATCTGGTAAATCTGTTTCAAGTCTATGTGGAGATAAATCGAACCAATCTAGTTTCGAAACTAAACACAAATTATACATATTTTTTCACAAGAAATCTAATCCAAACCTAAGCTATCAATATTTGTGAGAGAATCAAACCCCCACCATGTTACCAGAAACAAATCTTAATTATGTGAAACTTTTTATTTATTAAACAAATCACTGGGGCAATTTAAACTATTCTATTTAAACAGAACCAGGATCATGCATGGTAAAAGTTATGCTGCCTAATAATACCCATGTTGTCCCTTTACGTAAAGATTCTGATTTTCACAACTAAATGCTGCAAAAGTAATCCTTAATATACTCAAAACAATTAAATATAAGCAACTAATCGCTTGCTTAATTACCACAATCGCCTTGGTCCTTGATGGGTGTGACGGCCCCTTTCTCCCTCCAGTCCACGGCGGAGGGCAAGTTGGTAGCATCAGCGTACCTGAAATGTTTTGATTCTGAGGCGGACACGAGTCCAGATTCCTCATCCCGCCTCACAAACCCGCTAACACGTAACTCACGAAATTCATCGTTAGTTAAGTCAGCAAATTTATTAACACCAAGTTTATACCCTTTATCAGTTCCGGCATTAAAAGTTTCAATACGTTCAACGTTGTTTTTGAATACATTAAAACGCATGTCTTCCTCAGATGCGTCTGCGTAAACTTTTCCATGATGAGCCATCCATTGCTGGTGCCTCAATCGCATGGAATTTTCGTAGTCAAAGGTTACCCGGAAGGAAGCTACTAGACAGCTCCAAACTCCCAGGATTATCGTGAGGAATAGCAGAGATGAGCAAAGGATTTTGGAGGACATATTTGAGGGTAATTGAATGCTAATAAGGATTAAGGAAATATAATGTAGTAGATTGTTGTTGTTGGATGTGATGAAATGTCGAAGCTTGCAAGGGGTATTTATAGGCCGAGGCCAAAGGAATCTAGCCACTCGATCAGGTGTTTAATTATTTTTTTTATTCAATCCTAGTCTTAATAAGTGATAGAGACATGCATTTCTGATCTTGTTTAATTTGCTTGTATAACGTATGGTCTTTGATGGACCGATTAAATATTGGAATATAAAGGAAAAAAAGAGAATAATTCTTTGTGCCAAATCCATCACATAATGTATGGTGCAACACATACTTTGGTTTATGGAAAGTTTATATGGAAAGTTAAATTTGAAACCTTGTAGTTATTAAATCAATTATTTGATCTGATCAACTTAATTGGATTATATGCACATATTTTGTGATGCATAACAAATCATATCTTATAGCTCAAGACTTTAAACAAAGAATTCTAAATTAAATTAAACTAAAATAAAACAATAAAATGTTTCTAGTAATCTTGATCAGAGTTTATTGGCTTTTCGTAAATGTTTCGGTATTATGTGCTACATACCTTGTTGAGGAATGGTCAATGGTCATCCCCCTGAAATATTTGGTTTATAAATAATAAGAAAATGTATTAAATCCGCTTTATAAGTGTAACAAATAACTACATAAAGTTTCAACTAAAAAAAATAATTAGATCTCTTGAACTAGTGTGATTAGGTCTTAGCAATATGCCAATATCTATTCAACATATCACTACTGACGTGATGCAGACTAGCTAACATATAGTCTCGACTCTCAATGCTTACATAAAATTTATGTGTACAAATTTTATTTTACTTCTAAATAAATAAATAAATAAAACACCACGGGACCTAAATAGGATTGCATCAAATAGGTACCTTTCAACCATGTACTAGCTCCACTTGTTCACACTTTGAACATGTGAAGGCTAACTAATAAAGTGGTAGCACAATATATTTGTAAGAATGTTTTTTAAATCTGACACCAAAAATGTTAAAGATGTAATTAAATAAGTTTTATACTTTTCAAGTTACCTTATATAAAAAAAAAAAAAAAAGAATCATATTCTTATAGGCTAAATTTATTTCATTGATATAAAAGAATGTGATTAATAATTCACCTAAACTTTTTGAAGTCAAAACTTTTATGAGAATAATTTTTTAATATTTTAAATTGTCAAAGAAATTTAAATTTTCATAACTAAGAGTGTTAAAGTAGTTTGAAACTCGCTAGTTGGCATGCACCCAACTCACAATAGGACGAGTTAGGGCACAAAATTTATGAACATAAAAATGCGGACCTAACCGCAAATTGCGTGGACCAAGCCATTTGTATATATATATATATATATATATATATATATATATATATATATATATATATATATATATGTATGTTACGTTATTGATTTTCAATCTTGTAATGTATTCATTATTATTATTATTATTATTATTATTATTATTATTATTATTATTATTATTATAGGAACAAATACAAATGAGATTTATGTTACCATTCTAAATGGGTAGTCAAGGCATTGGTTCTTTAGGTTGAAAAAGATTGAGAAAGTATAATAGAATAGATATTGACAGTTATGCAATGGACCCGGCTCAAAATACACAATTTATATACTGAATGATCACAATTTGAATTGTGAACATTTAGTAGGTAAATTGTGAACATTTAGCATATAAAATTGTGAACATTCAGTATGTAAATTGTGTATTTTTAGACCCGAGTCCACATAATAATTTGCCAATAGATACTATCTTGTAAAGAATCATGAGTATTTCAAAAAGAAAAATCCGCAAAAATTAAGCCCGCGGTGAAATGGGCCTAATGGAGCAGACCGGCCCGATTTAACAGTACTATTCATAACATCAAAAGTTCTATTATTGGGTCTCTCAAATTGGCAAATTATACTGTGGACCATGGTCCAAAACGTTGCCGTTTCTTTTAATGAAAAGAAACGGCAACCGTTCCGCGTAAAGTAGCTCTGTTTGTATAACATATTCAGCTTCATTTTATATACACTGCAGCTTCATTTCAACACAACTACAGTTTCATTTTGATATAACTACAATTTCATTCGACATTATACACTCAAATATGTGAAACTGCTATTCAGTTTCATTACAACACAACTACAGTATCATTTCGATATAACTACAATTTCATTGGACAATATAAACTCAAATATGTGAAACTGTTATTCAATTTTATTTTATATACACTGCAGTTTCATTTCAACATAATTGTACTACAGTTTCATTTCGATATAATTACAGTTTCATTCGACTTTATACACTCAAATAGGTGAAACTGTTATTCAGTTTCATTTTATATATACACTATAGTTTCATTACAACACAACTACAATATCATTTTGATATAACTACAGTTTTATTGGACAATATACACTCAAATATGTGAAAGTGTTATTTAGTTTCATTTTATATACACTGCAGTTTCATTTCAACACAACTACAGTTTAATTTCAAATCAATTACAGTTTCATTTGATAATATAAAAACAATATGTGAGACAATTTCATTTTTTTGAAAGGTAGACAGTTTCATTTTAGATTACACTGTAGTTTTATTTTGTAATTAACACACCAAAAATACGAGCTCCGATGATGTAACGGTAATCGTTTCTTTACTTAAAGAAACGGTGCCGTTTTTGGACCATGGCCCACGATATAACGCCTGTCTCAAATTCTACTCCATCAATCTTACTCTTTGATGTGACAAGCAAGGATATGACATTTTTATCTTGTGGGTCTAGAAAAAAGTTGTCTACATTCAAGATTGGTAAGAGTAAAAGTTGGGAGTAGAATTTGAGAGTATAAGTGGTATTTTCCTAACATCAAACACCCTCGGAAGATTTTGTAGACTTTTTAAAATAAAAAAGTTGATAAAAATTTACAAATATTTTTTATATTGACTTTTATAGATTTTTACAAAGTTTTAAAAGACTATGAAAATCAATAAAAATTTATTAAAATCGAGCATTTTGAAGTTTTTAAAAATTTACAATAATTATTATTGAATACCCCTAATTCTATCATTTTCTAAATGAAATGTGGAGATTGAGTTAACTAATGGACAGTAGCCGGATACGACATTTTTGAACGTAGAAAACTGAAAAAGCACTAGAATATGGTTCATATGCCCCACTTCTATAGTTGACTGATGATTTGTTTGTTTTTTGCGACAAGAACAAGTTTGACTGATGATGCTTGGATGACGATTCTGTTTTTTGTCTGATGATGTTTGGCTTGCGATTGTGATTAGTTTTATAATTGTACAAATATAGTACTTCATACTCCGTATTACTTAACTGTTTTTTAATTTATTGATATGGCCAACCCTACAAATTTCTCACTTGTAAGGTGAAATAGAAAAAATATAAATTTTTTACATTTTTTGTCAAAGTGTATTGCAAGTTTGAAACACAGTACAAAAGATGTCATTTGGCAGCTTTTGTAATAATAATAATAATAATAATAATAATAATAATAATAATAATAATAATAATAACAATAACAATAACAATAACAATAACAATAATAATAATAATAATAATTATTATTATTATTATTATTATTATTATTATTATGTGTGTGTGTTTAGGTTAATTTTTTTTTCTTATGTAATTATATTAATTGAGTTTTAATTTTTCAATTTGAATTGTTACGTTAACACGAATTACTTTAGATAAACTTTTTACGTAATATAATTTGCATTCGATTATATACGCTATACGAATACTTTTTTGAATTTTAAAAAATAAATCTACGTTTTTTGGATTTTCATTTTTGTTATATTTAATACCTTAATTTATATATTCATTTAAAAGAATAATTGTAAAGAGAAAATAATATTTATTGAAAAAGTTAGTAATTTCTAAATGTGATGTGAAATTAGAACCTACTTTTAAAAGTGAATTGGGGTTAGTTGCAGTATATAAGGTCCTAAGGAAGTAATGATAGCCCAATAATCATAAATATTAAATATTTTGTGAAAAGATTTATCACGTGTATAATTAACCACTAATGATATATACCTAATCTATGACTCGTAATGATATTATTTAGGAAAATATTATGTGTACTCTCACTTTATACTTTTAATTTTTACTTCCACACACAAGATTTTGATGTAGACACTCGTATAGGGACCCATATAAAAAAATAGCTTATCAGAGTATGTCACATCAGAAAAAAAATTAAAGAAGTAAGATTTGAGAGTACATGTAGTAGAACTCATAACCTTTCGAACTAATGGATGATGCAATGCAAATATAGGATATATATAAGCTTTGATGGCGTCCGTCTACTTAATCCTTATATCTTGTAGCATGTAAACATCACATTTTAATAGCAGTCTCATCAAGCCAATGCTTTGATATTAATTATCAGATTAAGTACCGTCAAAAATTATAACTAATAGGAAATACGCAAATTTATTTATTTACACTAATGTAATAAATTAATAGCGAATACATATTTTTATTTTTATTTTTTTATATTTGTTTAACCATTAGTAACACATTTCGATAGAAAAATACTAAAAACAACCCACTAAACTATCACTCTATCACCCAACAATATAATCAATCTTTAAACAACAACCAACTCATTTCACTACATAGAATGGTAGAAAACACTACAATACGTGTCAGATCAATACTTAAATATGACTTAGTTATCTTTGAATATCAATAATATAAATATTGTGCGAGTAAAATACGGAAATACAACATCTTAATGTTTGTGATTGCTTATAACTCTTTAAAAACCCAACTTATTGGAAGAAATAAGTTGGGTTTTTCTTCCAAGGCTGAACCCCAACCCTAAGGACCTCCCATACCTCGACCCGAAAATAAGTTGGGTTTTTAATTTGGTGAGCGGAAGTCGGTGAAGAGACAAGTTCAATACTAGGTGGCTAGGAAATTGTTAGGCGGATGTCTAAAGAGCACTGTTGTAAAAATCGGCCTAGGCGCCCGCCTAGGCGCTAG